CTGCGAGCGCATGGTGGTTTGGGCGTAGAAGACGTTGGAGGTTGGAAATACGTGTGCGCGGCCACCTCTAAGCTGCCTACATCGTGAACGCTCGATGAACGCTTTATTATTCAAGCGGTGATGGCCAACAGCTGGAATGTCATATGCCATCTTGCAGTTATTTGCATGTTGAGGAATGAGGGAAGCCGCGTGAGGGAAAAAAGCTGGGTTCTGGAAACTGAGTTGCCAGCAGGTCTAAATTTGGGGTGGAGCGGCAGTATCCGAGGAGCTGTTTGGTAACTAGAAGAGCGCAGCATCCTGCACGCTGCTCATCGTTTGCGGAGGAGGAGGCAGGATTGGGCACTGTTTGTGGAAGGAAGGATTGTTCAGCGCTCTGCCAGTACCGCCCGCCTTTGACGCATTTGCGTTGTTTATCGTATGACGCTTTGCGCTTGCAGAACAGAATGTTGCAACGCGCTGCGCACAGGCACGCACCCCTTCTAGCATGTAATATTTGTGGCTTTTGAGAATCAGAAACCTGATGCGTTGGAGAGTCACAAGGAACGGCACGTTCGTTCTTGCCGGTCAGGCAACTGGATGAACACGATACTGTCGGTCGCTTGAACCCATGCTGAATTCCGCGTCCCTCAACTTAACAGTACAATCTACTCCCACATCTCTACACATGCTGTGGCTGCTCGGTTCAGCAGTTTGCATGTAGACAGGGGGCGCATGCATGCCTTGAAACGGAACTCGTTACGGAGAATGCGCAGCGCCTGTGCTGTCTCCGCCTGCATGTGCCAAGAAGAGGCACCCATCTGAAAGTACGTCTGTTTGCGCAGAAACACAGCAGGCGCTTATACTTGCCAACGTTGCGTGCCATGATGCGCCGCTGGAGGGGCGGTGTTTGGGGCGGAAAGACCGCACACGCAGCGGTTATGCAGCTTCTGCGGTGCAGTGCACCCATCTACATCGACTGGAGCTATGATTTAAACCACAATCACTTCGTATGCGTTTGGGATTAACCACACAAAAACGCCTATCAGGCAGTATGCCTTTTTATTCGTCCAGGGAAGGACGTATGGGGAGAGAAATATGACTGCGAAAACAAACGAACCACGAGCGTACACAATCATCGCTCCTGCATGCGGAAGTGCCGGCTCTGCGCAGCCGTGCCATTTGCCCTCTGTGCCGTCTGGAGCGGATACTGCGTAAAACGCCGTGTGGCTTGCGATCTGCATTGGGGGAAGTACTTGAACGGCCATCTGCTTGTCTTGGGAAAGCCGGTCCAGTAACGCCCAGCAGTTCGTCCTCCCACTCTTTTGCAGTGGGTGGTCGGCGTTGAATATGACGTTGGCGCTCCCCGATATTCCACCGTTGGGTTTGCGGTTTTTTGGAGTAGGATGCTCATCGCGGTGGCGAGAGGTGTGCCTGGAAGGAGAGGGGAATGTCGCATCCATGACCAGCCTAAGCTTGCAAGGCCTATACTATAGGCAGGAAGGGAAGTCCTACAGTCGGGCAGTGCACCACTGGTTTGTTCATTTATGCTGCGCAAGTGCGCGGAGCCTCGCCCATATCACTGCATTCAAGTGGGCGTGTCTCACTTTCTCGGCTAGCGGAAGCATTGAGCTGCAGGAAGGTGCGAAAGGGTATCTCTGTTGTCTGCAACGCCTTTACGGTTGCGTCAATCTACACACGTCTACCGATCACTGCGCAAGCGTCACGCACGGCGATCCTAAGTTGAAAGCACGAGATAGTGGATTTACGTGCTAGTGCTGAAGCCATGTTCACAGTAACGCTCAATGAGTGGTATTGATCCCACTCTTCCTTCGGGACGTCGACGACGCACCGACATTTCCTCAGCTCTGTAGTCACGCGTCCAGGGGAGAGAAGAGATATTGTGAAGGGGGAACAGTAGAGAAGGATTCAGACGTCCCGCAAATCGGCAATTTGCAATTTTGTGCTTGATCAAGTTCGAGGACACACGAGGGGGTTTCGGCAAGACGTGGTGGGTTTATGGTAGCCTCCATGGTTCGTAGCCTGACACAAAGACCGTGCGTTGATGTATTCGTTGAGCATGAACTGCATGCGTACGCTCCAGAAGGGACGCGAGGGGCAGGGCTTTGCTTTTTCCTGACGGCTGCGGCCAAGGTGAGTGGCGAAAGCATAAATAGCATAATGTGCGGCTAGAGCGGTACGACGTGCAGTACAGCTGCGCAAAAAGCAAGCTCTAAAGCGGCGCGCGTTCATCTGTTTCGTAACCCTCTAGGCGCTAAGCATCTGTTGGGGGTGATGTCTTTGATTTTGATCGATAAGGATAGCTGAGGCATAATCGTGGCAAATAAAAGTCCAAGGGAGGTGGGCTCCGGCCCATGTGCAGTCGTCTACAAAGCTTCTTTAGAGCATGTGAATCTGTTGAGGCAAGTTCGTGGATTGCAGATGAGAAGACCGCCTGAGCACTCGAAGTGCAATTCGCAAACTGCTTGCTCACGACTGTCAAGGGTCCCAACTGCGCGCGGAAAACACCCTATCATGTTGGATAGTCATGCACATGCGCATTGATTTGTTTGCGCATGCACTAGTTGGGATTGGAGTGCGCGGAATAGAATTTATTATGCCATGTGCACGAATTCGTCAACTGCGACCCACGACGTGAATGGGTTTCGTTGGTCAGGTAGGTTTGCAGCACGGGCGGATGCAACACTTTTGTGTTACTTGTAGTTCCGGACATGATACACTTCACCTGCAGCAATGCATCGTACAGTTCTCTGACAACCGTGGCTCTGCAGCACTTAGCGCAATAGGCTGTGGCAATAATGATTTGCGGTGGCAAGCTTGCTTCACGCAGTATCGCCTACGCAGCAGTGGTGTGCTGAACTGAAGTTTTGAGGCTCTCATGTAGCTCGTTCTTTGTATGTAAGCATCTTCATTTAACTAACGCATGCATGGTTGTTTGTCTAATGATGCGCTTGCCCTCCTTGCTGTGCTGGGTTGCCTTGGCTGATGATTGGCGGGGCCTATGGGGCACAAAGGGGGAGCTTGTCTTATCCTACGCAGTTGGTGCATTTGGAAGGTCGTGTTTTACCATTTGCTTGCCATGGTTGTCCAGTGAGTGGATGCCAACCACTGTTGCTGCCAGCGTTCCGTTGCAAGTTGATTGACGCTATTTTCACGCCGAGGCGTGAGGGCGGTCCCCCCGCCGACCCCTTGGCGCCAGCTGCGTTCTGCTACACGAGCAAGGGGAAGCGTGTCTTATCCTACGCAGTTGGTGCATTTGGAGGGTCGTGTTTTACCATTTGCTTGCCATGGTTGTCCAGTGAGTGGATGCCAACCACTGTTCGACGGTCGCAAGGCAACGTTCAACTAACTGCGATAAAAGTGCGGCTCCGCACTCCCGCCAGGGGGGCGGCTGGGGAACCGCGGTCGACGCAAGACGATGTGCTCGTGCTGCTAGTGCAACAAGGGGATGCCTTAAACACCTGGGGTTAGTACTACCTGTACCTTTGCTTAGTAACCACCTCGTGTGGCAACGGTGCACGTTAGTCACGACGTCTCTTATTCGGGTTGCAGTTTATGGCTGGGCGCTCCCCGACTGATCTGCACTCGCTTCCACCATATGGTGC